CTCCCCCACCCCCGTTTCCCTTCCAGGGCTGTTCCCATCCCTGATTCCATTCCTGGGGTCCCCCCACTCCAATTCCCCTCCCCAGGGTTGTCCCCATCCTTGGGGTTCCCCCACCCCCATTTCCCTCCCCAGGGCTGTCCCCATCCTTGCTCTGGTCCCTGGGACCTCCCAGCCCCCCGGCAGTGCCCACCCATGCCAGGGTATGCGGTGCAGTCACGGGTGGTGGGTGCTTCGTGCTGGTGGGTGCCGTCGGTGGGGGGTGGCGGGCAGCCCCAGGCGGGCAGGGGGGACACGTTATTGCAGTAGGGCTCAGTGGTGGAGGAGGAGGTGGAGGAGCTGCTCGCCCTGCTGCGGGATGGGGGGCCCAGCCTGGCCGGCACTGCGGGGCACAGGGCCACCATCAGCCCCGGGGTGCAGGGTGGCCGCTCGCCCACCCACGGGCAGGACAGACAGACGGCCAGTGCTGCAGGACAGAGGGACGGGCACCCTTCATGTCATACCCTCCCCAGGCAACGGCTCCAGTCCATCCTGCCTGGGCATCAGCGGGAGCAGCTGCTCCCTGGAGTGCCGGCGCAGTGAGTCTGTGGGGAGACCAAAGGGGGATAGGCATCAATGGGGGGCCACCCCCGGGCAGGGTGAGGGGAGGTCCCCGGGCTGGGTGGGATGCTCACTGTAGAAGGTGGAGAGGGCCACGGGTGGCTTGCTGCTGAAATCGTAGTGTTCGTAGTCAGAGTCAGAGTCGGGGTCCTTGGCTGTGGCTGGTGGGTCTGGGGTGGGGGCAAGATGGGGGTAGGGCAGCCATCACCAGTCGGGATCTCCTGTCCCACAGCCCCCCCCGGGAGGCGCCGGGGGGGAGGAAGCCTGGTGACCTGCCAGACCCACCTGGTCCTTTGGGAAGGCTGGGGGGCACCTCCCTGTAGTCATTGGAGGTCCCCGAGGGCACAGTGGGGCTCTGGGCATTGTGGGTCACCAGCACCGGCTCGGCTAGCCGGAAGGAGGACATGGCAAGGTCTGGGGGGACAAATCGGGGTGCCTATGGCACAGCCAGCCCCACTCCCACAGCTGAGCTGACCCCAGGGAGGGGGTGGCCCCGGCTGGGCTGGCAGTGTCACCCTCTCTCCATGGCCAGAACCTGCCATGCCCCCACAGAGGTGGCTCCTTACCACTCATCTTCCTCACCCTCAGCAGGGCGGCGATGAAGGCCAGCACGGTGAGCAGGAGCAGCGCTGCCAGGACCAGGCAGAGGATAAAGAGGGGTGTGTGCAGTGGGGACTGTGCCCCGGCGGACTGGGAGCCAGCCTCAGCTGCGACAGAGAACAGACACAGGTTGTGACACCCGAGACATCCTTCCTTCAGGGAAGAGGGGTAAGTTGGGTGCTCCCTGCAGCACGCACCCCCCACCCCCACCCCGACCGGCTCCCCAGACCCAGGTCATGGCTGAAGCTCTGCAGGACACTCACTGCTCAGCAGAGAGATGTTGCTCAGTGTCACCGTGGCCATCGGGGTTGGTGTCTGTAAGCCCTGGGAGCCTGGCAGGAGGGGGACAGGGATGGGCGAGGGCAGAAGAATATGGGTTACAGGGGACCCCTGTGGCTTCAAGCAGGCAGTCAGCCCCCCTAAATCCACAGGGCCAGGTGGCAGAGGGGGTCCCATACCGTTGCAGATCACTCCGGCCGCCCGGGACTGGTGGCAGGGAGCCGATTTGTTGTAGGTCCACTGGCAGTGGGCCAGCGATGGCTGCTGGCCATCACACTGGTAGAGCATCCTGGCGGGCAGTGTGTGGCCAAAGGAGAGCTGCCGGAGGGGCTGCCCGCAGCCCAGCGTGTGGCACAGCACTCTCGCCTCCAGCTCGTACCACGTGCTGTCGCACACCGTGCTCCATGTGCCACGGAAAAAGACCTCGACCCGACCGGCACAACCATCCTGGCCCCCGGTGAGCCGCCACTCCTGGTGTTCTAAGGGCAGAGAACGGAGTTGGGGGGATGCGCTGCCTGTACCCCTGCCTGATTCTACCCACCAGAGCCCAAACCCTGCTTGGTGGCTACCAAATCCAGTATATGCCGGCCCCACCTGAGCACACCACACCAGCATCTTCCTTATGGCTGCAGTCGTGCTCCTGCGTGGCCACGCAGTCCCAGAGATGCTCCTCGTCCCCCTTGCAGCCCACTTCATCCCGGAGGATGAGGCCACTGCCCCGGCCAAAGGTGGCACTGCCGTGAATGCGGATGGCCCAGCCGCAGCGCAGTTGCCGGCAGACAACGTCGCCATCAGCCAGGTCCCAGTCGTCGTCACACACCGTCCCCCATGCACCCGCCTGCTCCAGCTCCACCCGGCCCTCGCACCGGCTCCGGCCACCGGCCAGACGCAGCGCACTGGGACCTGGGCAAGACACAGGGGAAAAGGGGGTTAGAGTGGCCCTGGCACTGTCCCCTGTGCCACCGCCAGCTCTGCTGGGCAACAGCAGCAGGAGGAGATGCTCTTGTCCCCTAACTCCTCACCAAAATGGGGGGGCAAGGAGGTCCCTGGCCCTCCTGCACTCACCTGATGCCACCGAGGTGTTTCCAGCCATGCGGCTCACCGGGCTGCCAGAAAGTCCTGTTGGCTCTGTGGGGGCTGCGAGGAGGAAGAGGAAGGGGGTACAAGGGGCTGAGCCCACCGGGACCCCTCATCTGGGCCCTCTGAGCGTGGTGGGAGGACAGGGGTTCACGGCTGCAGGACAGAGCCCTGTTGAGAGCTGGCAGCCGCCAAGGCGAAAGCAGAAGTGAGGTCGGTGGGTATCGGGGGGCCAACTCCCCCTTTTTTGGCTCAGCCCCGGCTCTCCTGGCAAGGAGGCGGCGAGGAGCAGACGGTTTGGCTCCCGTGCCGGCTGCTGGGCGCTCCGCAGCTCACAGATGGCAAAGCAGGGGGACGTGGAATTGCTGTCACCCCCAGCACACAGCCATGGGGAGGGCAGGGGGCAGATGGAGAGGGTGGGGGGCAGAAGGAGAAGGTGCAGGAATGGGCACCCCAGTCCCCCGAAAAGTTATGCTGCTTTGGAGAAGGTTGATCAAAATGGCAGCCCCGGGCTGCCACAAAATGGGTGACACGACGGGGAGCCCCCTCGAGCCCCAGCCACGTGGGCACGGCTCTCTTGCACCCCTAAAATTCAATCCCCATCTCTTCACATCATCTCTCCACGGGAAATGGGGGGGCCAAATCCTGGTGTGGAGTCTCCTCGCAGGGTGGGGGAGGCAGAATCTGGCCTTAAATACAGTGATATTGGGACACAACTCACCAGTGGGGAAGTGTGGGACGCCGTCACGCACCCGGGATGCTGCCGACGCTGCCGCCCCCCGGCTCGCTGCCCCTGCCAAGAGAGAGGGTCTGCCTGCTGCCTGTACCTGCCTGCACCCCCAGCACGGCCCCCCGCGAGCCGGTGGATGGATGCTGCTGCCACCGTGGTCTCATTTTAGGCTTTTCCCTCTCCCCAGGCACCCTGAGTGCACGGCAGTGTTTCGGGCCATGCCCCCCTCTCTGTCCCCTCTCTCCCATCCCTTTGCCTCAACACAGTGGAGCCGCTCGCCAGTTTCCTGCCATTTTCACCAGAAAAATTCACCATTTGGCTCCTCTGGGGAGAAGAATTTATCCCCACGGGCAAGGCGAGGTGTATTTGCTGACATCACCACGAAATTGTGGCTTTCTCTGTACCCCGACTGCGCAGGGAGCGAGAATGCTGTAATTACAATGATGATTTCTGACCAAAAAAGGACTGTTTTTGGAGCCACTGCATCAGCCTGCCATGCTGATAGAACCTGCTCCCCTCTTTGCTCATCCATCACTGCAAAAGGCCTCTATAGTGATTGGGAGTGGGGTGGGGTGTGTTGAGTGGGTGTCCCGGGGAGCTGGTGGGCAAACCAGCACCTTAGGCAGTGGGCTCTGGCTTAGTGTTAAAAATATTAAAGGGAAATGGGGGATGCAGCGAGGAAGAGCCACTCTGTGGGGTCCCTGGTGTTGGGCAGCACCACAACATGTCAGTGAAGGTGCGGGAAGGAGCTGTTAGCGGAAACGAGGGCGATGGGGACCGTTTTCTGAGTGATCAGAGGCGTGGAGGGTGCTTCTGGCAGCCATTTCGGGTGTGAAAGCACCTTAAACCTCGCTGCACTGGGGGTAGAAGGTGGATTTGTCCCCAAAACCCCTCCTGGGGTGATGCTGATGACATGAGCAGAGTGAGGTTTGGCCAGTGCTTGCCAAAACTGGGAGAGCATCACCTTGTCCCCCCACAGGGCTGGGGGTGGGAGCTGGTGGGCGGGATGGGCCCAAGAGCCTTTTTAGGGTCCCCAGAGTCCCCAAGTCCCCAAGCAGGGCCATGCCACCAGGCAGTGAGGGGCACGTCAAGGAGGGGCAGAGGTTGGAGCAGCCTCAGGAAGAAGAAGAGCTCAACTTTGAGAGCTGCCTGCAGAGCATCCTCGCTCAGTGCCAGAGCACGGTAACATCCGTGTGCGTTCACCGACACCCCCCGACCCCAGCCAGGAGCCGGCCCCGGGGAGGCGGCAGGTACCCAGCTCTGAAATCAGCAGAGCCACCTCCCCGGGGTCCCCTGGGAAGGGAAAGGGTGGGGACATTGACGTACCTTGTCCGGGCGCCGTGGCGGAGAGAGCCGCCAAGAGCAGGCAGAGCCCCTCCATCCTGCTCAGCGGCTGTGGGGCAGCCCCATGGCGGTTGGGGATCGCGGGGTCCCGTCGTCCCGCCGCCTCTTTCAGTGGCTTGGGGACATGGTTTGGAGGTGACTGCTCGTGTGCTCTCTGCTCCCGGCTTGTGGTCGAGGGCTGCAGGAAGCCAGCTCAGTGCCGTGGGGCGGAGGAGTGCAATGGGGTGGCTCCATCCTGCACGCTCGCGGGGAGGAAAAGGGGGGGTGGGCTGCACTTGGGGACCACGCCACGCGCCTGCGGCATCCTTCGAGGTCCTGGGTGCCACCGCAGATCACTCTCAGCCCCCCCGGGAATGCGGATCTTGCAGGAACCTTGATTCGCAGCTCCTGGTGTGCCACCATGTCGTAGGGCAGCATCACCGGTGACACAGTGAGGCTCCAGGCTCCTCCAAACTCTGGGACCTCCATGGGGTGATGAAGCAGAATGCCGGGTTCCCTCTTTCTCCCCAGTTTTCTTGCAGGAGGATGCTTGGAAGGCCACAGGCCGGTGTGACATTGCCCCTTCACACCTTGCTCCAACCTGTGGAACAAGAGACCTGCAGAGGACAAGACGTGGTGACCCCAAAGATGTGCCACCCCACACCCCTGCCCCTCCGCAGGCCAGGCCCTGGCAGGAGGGAGATCAGTGGCAGAGAGATGGATCTTATGAATAAGCTGGGCTGTGTTGGATCGTGTCCCCCCACAGCCGAAAACATGGATTCAAGGCTCTTCCCTGCCCAGCTGCTGGTCACCACAGAGCTCACAACCCGCCCCCGTCCCAGAGAACTCATCTCTCTGCCAGGTGGGGATGTCGGAGCCGTGGGGTTCTTGGAGCTATGGAGATGCCAGAGCCGTGAGGCTGCCAGGAACCATGGCTGGGGGCTGGCGAGCGCTGCCTTTGGGCTCTTCCCCTGCCCCAGGGAGCCCGGAGGCAGCTTGTTTTAGGCAGGAGGGGGTGCAAGGGCATGGAGGAGCTGGAGGGTGCTGGAAGGGGCTGGAAACTTGAGGTCTGGGTGGGAGTTTGGGGGTGTGGAGGGCTGGGAGGGTGTGTGCCCATTAGCTCTCTCCCCTGAGCTTCCTGCTCTTCTCAGCTACTAATTTTTAATTTTTAAATTTTGGTTTTAAACTTACAGAAACTTAAAAGCTTCGCGCCATCTGTGTCATTGCCGGGTCTGGTGGAAAATATCAGAGTGCGAGAGGCAAGCAGGCACATGCAGCCCCCCTCCCCAGCCCCATTTCCTTAGGAAACTGGGCTGCAAAATAAACCCTCCGTGCACTCGTGGGGATTTTGTGTGTGTGAGTCCACGGTGCAGTGCGGGGGAGCCGCTGCGGTAGCCTTGAGCTTGGCTCAGCCCAGCTTTACGCTGGCTCTGGGAGGCTCGGGTGGATGCGGGTGGGTGCACAACATCCCCCAGCACACACGGGGCTCAGACACCCCGAAACAAGGGGAGACCCCAGGTTCAATGAGGGGCTTTAGTGATGGTGGGGCAGGAGATCACCAAGAGGGGGGTGAGCAAAGCTCCCACCCAGATGGGGAACACGGGGAAGGCCCCCAGAAAGGAGAAGTCACACTGGTTGATGGGGATTTTCACTTCTGAGCCGTCATATGATGTGTTTCTGTTCAGCAGAAATGGGGAACTGAGAGCCAGGGAGGACAGAATTGGAAACTGGGGAGGGACAGGAGCAGACGACACCCACCCGGTGACAGGAACATCCCAGAGAGGGGCCAAGAGGGTCAGAGAAGAGGCCACGGTATGACGGGCCCCCCCAGCTCGCGGTGGTGAAGGTCAGCAGAGCCAGTGCTGAGAGCTACAGTGCTCTGGGGCTGGGCATGACCAGGATGGGGCACAACGGGGAGCAGAGCCCCTTGCTGGGGGGGACACCTCTCAAGAGGCGCGGGATGGCGTGCGCGGCCGTGCTGGCGGTGGAGGGTCTGGAGCAGGCGGCTTTCTTTGGCATCACGGCCAACCTGGTTCTCTACCTCACCAGCAGCACCTTCGGCTGGGGGGGTACCCAGGCATCCCATGCCTGCCTGTTTTTTGGGGGGGCTTCCTACCTGCTCTCACCCATCGGTGGCTGGTTTGCCGATGTCTACCTGGGCTGCTATGGCACCGTGGCTCTCAGCTTCTTGCTGTACCTGCTGGCAGCGTGTTTGCTGCCCGTCACGGCATCGCTGGACGGCCGCCTCTCGCTCTGCGGGGAGCTGCCCGCCGATACCATCCGAAACTGCTCTTGGCACCGCGGTGGGACGTGCCAGGGGCAGCCCCCCGAGCTGTACTGTGCCCCCACCATCTACACTGGGCTTCTGCTCTTAGCACTGGGCATCAGCTCCGTCAGAGCCAACCTCACCCCCTTCGGCGCCGACCAGGTGAGTACAGCAGCCTGCCGGCATCCTTCTCCCCATGCCCCTTCCCAAGCGGCTCCTCCTGGCCCGGTGCTTGCCCCACATGGAACTGTGGGTCCCTCTTCCCCTTCTGCTCAGCTACAGGGGGGGGTACAGTCTCCCATGGGGCAGAGGCGATGTGGTCACACCCCATAGATCACCTCCAAACCCTTCAAGACCCCTTTGCTGGGGAAAGGAGGGAGGTGAGGGGTGGGAGGGTGGTGGGATGGGGTATGATGGGGACACGAGAGGGTGGTGGGACAGGGGATGAAGTAGAAGCCCTGAGAACCAGCTCTGGGGTCTCCACGCCGGCAGGTGAGGGACCAGGAGGTTGATGCTACACGACGCTTCTTCAACTGGTTCTACTGGAGCATCAACATGGGGGCCATCTTCTCCCTGCTGCTGGTGAACTTTGTCCAGCAGAACATTGGTTTTCTGGCCAGCTACCTCATCCCCGTTGCCTGTCTGGCCTTGGGTCTCCTCATCTTCCTCCTGGCCACCCCCACCTTCATCACCAAGCCCCCCAGGGGCAGCCAGGTCTCTGCCATGATGAAGCTGGCCCTGCAGAACTGCGGCTGTGCCTGGCTGGGGGGCACCGGGGCCAGGTGAGAAGGGTGGAGGGTTTTGGGAGTGCTGAACCCTCCCAATCCTGGTCTTTCCCATGATGACCCTCTCCCCAGGCTGACCGCTCATCGGTGGGAAGTTGTGGACCCTCTCCCCTACAGCAGAGCCCAACCTGGAGCCCCTTCGCCTGAGGAGGACCGTGCCAACTTCCAGGTGCTGGCCCGCATCCTGCCTGTGATGCTGGCCTTCATCCCTCACTGGATAGTCTACTTCCAGGTGAGGTGTGGGGTGGCCTCTGCACTGGGCAGGGACCATCAGTGGTGGTGGGGCCATCCAGTAACTGAGCCCATGGAGCCACTGTCCCATTGTCTTTTAGATGCAGTCGATGTATTACCTGCAAGGTCTGCATCTCCGCACCCCTGGCATCTTCCAGAGTGTCCAGGACCACCCCAGCACCCTTCAGGGCTACACAGTGAGGGATGGGGCGAGCAGCTTCCTAGACTTGATGGGTGCACATGTCTGATGGGGAGCGGCTGAGGGAACTGGGGCTGTTTAGTCTGGAGAAGAGGGGGCTGAGGGGAGACCTCATGGCCCTCTACAGCTCCCTGACAGGAGGGTGCAGAGAGGGGGGATGAGTCTCTTGAACGAAGGAACAAGCGACAGGACAAGAGGGAATGGCCTCAAGCTGCCCAGGGCAGGGTCAGGCTGGCTCTGAGGAAGGATTTCTTTGCAGAAGGGGCTGTTGGGCGTTGGAATGGGCTGCCCAGGGCAGGGGGGGAGTCCCCATCCCTGGAGGGGTTGAAGAGTCGGGTTGACCCAGCGCTGAGGGATCTGGGGGAGTTGGGAACGGTCAGTGTGAGGGTCATGGTTGGACTGGAGGAGCTTCAAGGGCTTTTCCAACCCAGATGATTCTCTGGGTGAGGGCTGGGCTGGGAGCCCAGGAGGTCCTGAGCTCCCCACCGCAGGTGAGGGCTGGGGCTTGACCTGCCTCTGCCCTGCAGTTCCCAGATGTTTGGCTGCTCCTGGCCAATGTGGTGGTCTTGGTGCTGCTGAAGGACCACGTCATTGACCCCTTCCTAGCCAGGAGGAGGCTGCTACCCTCAGCCCTCAAGCAAATGACCCTGGGCATGTTCTTCAGCCTGGCCTCCATCCTGGCAGCAGGTAGGACCCAAGCTGGTGTGGGATGCAGCCCTCAGGAAGGGGTTTGGTGAGTGCTCAGCCCCCTACCCGCATCCCACAGGCATCCTGGAGCGGGAGCAGCTGCAGTACATGCACCACAACCAGACAGTGCTGCAGCTCCTGGCCAAGGACCGCTACCCCGCCGCCACGCTGCCCGCCTGGTGGCAGATCCCCCAGTACCTGCTCATCGGCCTCAGCGAGCTCTTTACCAGCATCCCCGGTGAGCTGGGCTCACCTCTCTCTGGCGCTGGGGTAACCCCCACAGAACCTCCCCCCCTGCCGTGGTGGTTGGATTTAGTGGAGGAACCCCAAAAGGGTTCAAGCTTTTCCTGGTGCTCTCTCGGCTTTCCTGCAGGCCTGGAGTTTGCCTACACCGAGGCCCCTGAGTCCATGAAAGGAGCCATCATGGGGCTCTTCTTCTTCATCTCCGGGGTGGGCTCGCTGCTGGGGTCGGGGTTGCTGACTCTCCTCTCGCTGCCCACCCACGGTTGGATGCGCTGCCCGGAGGGTTACGGTGAGCTGGCACAGGGACACGGGTGTCACCTCCTGCTTGGGGTGCCTTTGGGAGCAGAGGGGACAGGGTGAGGGGCATGGGGGTGTCCTGAGGGCCAGCCCCCTGCTCTAAGCACCCTCCTGCTCACAGGGAGCATCAATAGCTGCCGTGTGGATAATTACTTCTTCCTGCTGGCTGGGATCCAGTCGATCACCTGCTTCATCTTCACCTGGATCTCCAGGCACTACCAGCACCGGCTGCCGTGACCGGGTGCCCCCACCTCTGCACGGGGCCAGAGGAGGGCTGACATGGTGCCACAGGGGCAGGGGGGACAAGGAGCCCCCCCCAGGGCAGCCAGAGTAAACACCCCACCCCACCATGGGGTTATGGGGAGCTGTGGGGGTGGCTCGAGCCCTGGTTTGTGGGGAAGTGGAAGGGGAGGGTTGGGTGGGTGCCAGCCCAGCGTGGGGAGCCTGCCAGCAGTAGAGTGATGGGGGTGTGCGTGTTTCTCCTGCTATCACCCAGAGCGATTTGGGGGTGTCTCAGGATCAATGGGACAGACTGGGGGGCTAGTGGGGGGACTGGAGGGGTGGAAATCCCCACAGCACCCCTGAATAAAGGGACCTGCTGGCCCATTACCTGTGGCTACTGTTACAGGAGAGACATTTTGGGGTTTAGGGGCATCAGGGATGGGCCACAGTGTGGGGGGACTCAGGACCAGGCAGGGACAGGCTGCTCCCTCATCCTGGGTGTTGGGGCTGGACAGGAGGAGGAGGAGGAAGGCTGCAGCCCCTTCGCCATGGCAGGACAGGGAGGAAGTCACCCCAAGGTCACCCTGGCTGGGCCAGTGCCAGCACCAGCCCCCGAGCCCTTCCCATGACCAGCTCCCACGTTTGTCCCCACGTGGAGCCAACGTCAAGGGCATGTGCCCGTCCCTGGGAGCTCCGCGGGCTTGGCCGTGCCTGGTAGAGCCAGTCCCTGCCATTCCGTTTGTCTTTTTTAAATATTTTATTTTTGTAACAATGTCAGAATTTAAAAATCTGCCATAAATAACAGCCCCTCGCAGCAGCCCCTTCCCCGGGGGCGTTACAGGTAGAAAATGCCAGTCGTACAAAACGGATGCGTGGTCAGGGTGAAGGTGGGGAGGGCGCACACCCCCCTCCTCCCCGCGGCATGGGTGCAGCGGGGGGCACGGGACTCTCCCTGGAATCAGACCACAGGACTCATCATCATCATCATCACTATGAACACAATGTCGCAATGAGACCCAAAGCAGTAAGAGTACCCCGGCTTCCTCCCTGATGCCACTGAGGTGGGGGGAGCTGCCACGGACCCCAAAGAGGGGGATGCTCTGAGTTGGGTGGAGACACCCCCCCCACCCCACCGCGGGCATCTGGGGATGGTCCCTTGGGTGGCCCCGCTGGGGCAGGGCTCAGGCCACCACGAAGGGATGAGCAGTGGCCCCCAGGAGCAGCACAGCCCGCTACAGGCAGGGAAAGGTGGGGGACAGGGTGTCTCCCCACCAGTCCGGGGCAGTGTGGGGAGGAGGTCGGTCTCTTACTGGTTTGCCTGGGGTTGAGAGGCCGGGGGCTTGTCCCCCCAGGGTCAGGAGCTGCCCCGGATCCTCTCCATGTAGCTCCTGAGCTCCTCGGGGTCCCGCAGCCCCATGTCCTCGCACACCCAGCGAATGTCATCCTCGCTGGCCACCAGGATGGACTGGACATTGGGGGCGGGCTGGGGGGGCTCCTCAGGGACCCGGGGGGACGCAAAGGTGACAAATTCCACCCGCTTCCTCCGGCCACCCCCTGGCGTAACCCCCTCTTTACGAGGCAGGGGAGCTCCGGGTGTCGGGGTGCTGGGGGGAACAACCCCTGTTTCGGAACCAGGCGCAGTGCCCGGGGGTACCCCGCAACAGCAGCGCCCGGCCTCAGGGGCCACCTCGGGGGCTGGGGGCTCAGGCTGCCGGCGGTCCAGTTGCCGGCTCAGCTCCTCCTGGTCGGTGCCCAACCAGACCCAGTTGTGGGGCTGGGGGGCCGAAGGGGCTGTGCCGGCATCCGGCAGCTCCTTCTGCTGGTACCGCAGAACGAAGAAGATGCAGTTGATGAGGAAGATGAAGATGGCCAAGCAGAAGACACCCAGCAAGACGTACATCCCAATCTCCAGGTCGGTCACCCGCTCGGGAGCCTTCACCATCTCATCCTCCTCCTCTTCTTCCTCCCCGCCAGCACGGTTGCGGCCGTAGCCTTCCTCCTCTTCCTCCTCCGAGGAAGACCCCAGCCCTTGGAGCTTGGTGGAGGCAGGTCCGACACCGGCGGGGTCCCTTCGCCGCGGCTCGCTGGCCGCTGTCACCGCCTCCCCCGACATGGCCCCCTCGGCTCGTGGAAAGGGAGAGCTGGCCCGGGGTGGGCCACCCGGGGGGCTACCAGAGGTTGGGGCACGCCGGCCGGTCCCTACCTCAAGCCAAGCAGTGACGGTGGCCAACGCGGCCGCTCGGTGCCGGCCCCGGCGACAGGCATCTGGGGGGTGCAGGCTGAGCTGCAGCAGAGCCCCCCGTCCCGGCCCCTCCGCCACCACCCAAGGGCGAGCAGCGGGGACACTGGGCGAGCCCCCCACAGTGGCCACGGCGGGGTCTAGCGAGGTC